CGGGCTTCAATGTCAAGAACATGCCTGTCAAAGATGTTCGCTGTGGCCATGTGGCTGATGACAGAAAAAATGATCCACCAGGGGAAGCAGCTGGCTTCACAGCTCAGGTGATGATCCTGAGCCACGCAGGCCAGATCAGTGCTGGCTACGCACCGGGGCTGGATGGTCACAGAGCTCATATTGCTGGCAAATTTGCTGAGCTGACGGAGAAGATTGCTCGCCTGGGAAAAAGCTGGAAGATGGCCCCAAGATTTTGAAATCTGGTGATGCTGCCATCGTTGATATGATTCCTGGGAAGCCCATGTGTGTTGAGAGCTTCTCTGACTACCCTCCTCTGGGTCGTTTCGCTGTTCGTGACATGAGACAGACCGTTGCTGTGGGTGTCATCAAAACAGTGGACAAGAAGGCAGCTGGAGCTGGCAAAGCCACCAAGTCTGCCCAGAAATCTCAGAAGCTAAATGAATATTATTCCCAACACCTGTGGTGGAAGAACGGTCTCTGAACTGTGTATCTCAATTGGAGATTTAAATTTAATAGTAAAAGACTGGTTAATGATTACAATGCATCATAAAACCTTCAGAAGGAAAGGAGAATGTTTTGTGGACCATTTGGTTCTTTTGTGTGTGTGGCAGTTTTTAAAATCTACTTTTTAATGGAAACAACATGACCAAAAATCTGTCACAGAATTTTGAGACCCATTAAAATAACAAAGTTTAGTGAGAAAAAAAATAAAATAAAAATAAAAATTATATGGCTAGTTGTGAATATTTGTTATGGTGAATTTGATGGAGACGTTGACCAACAAATTTCCTTTTAAATAATTCATCAAAATGAATGCTTTAAAAGATAGAAAGATTGAATATGAATCATATGACTGAAAAGAGCCACTCTAATTCTTGATATTTTTCAATTGTGTGTGTGTGCACTTAAAAAGCTGACATTTTGAAGTTAGACATCATCTAGTTAGGAATACCAATGAACCTCTTAAAAAAAAACTGTCACCTACAGGAAAAAAAAAATTAAAGTCACAACTGTATCTTCATCGTAGTTATAATTTATCAACCCCACCTTCCCTAAATAGAATGACGCTGGGATAAAATCATTCCTTAGAAAGCTGTCTTCACAGAGTGTGTGTACTGGGCTTGAGAAACGCCATCTAGGAATTTGCAGTATTTAGACGAACTCGTTTTGCAGATGGCGGTGGCAACACTGCCTTCTCCCATCCAGGTCCTCTTGTTAGTCACCCATCAGCAGTGGAGACCTGACGGGCAGTTCTCAGTGTTGGTTTGCACAGGTCTCCTCCAGTTCTCTCTCCCAGAGCTTCAGTTTCACCTTTCCCCCTACACGTGCTGTAGCAGGTTTGGGAGGGCAAGCAAGAGACTGTTGTGATTAAGACACCTCCCGTCTTCTCTGACCTGTTCTTTAGATGAGCTCACTTAAAGAGCCTTGCAATGCACTGGAAGGCACGCTGGCAGACCTCAAAATCGCTGCTTGCGTTCCCATGTCCTAATGCTAGTTCACGTTCCTGGTGAGCTTACTGGGTGTCAGGAATCAGACAAGCCTTTTAAATCTCACCGGAGTCCTCGAAGGTGGGCTACTGACCGTCCCCTGTTGCACGTAAAGTGATGAATTCCTGCGGAGGTCACAGAATTTGCCTTGGACAGTCTAGTTAATAAATTACAGCACCTAGAATTCTGAAACATGACTCTTTGCTTCTGACATAGTTTGGTGGACTGCATCTTCAAAAGACTGCTAATCGAGATGTCTTTTCTCTCAGGAACATGTGGCTACTTCGATTTTTTTTAACCTCTGTATTTCTCTCTGAAGCCCACTCTACAGACACCAGTGATCTGACTGGCTGCCTGGAGATACCTAGGAGGGACTGTATCTTGATACTAAAATAAAAGGAACCTGTAAGAAAAACCTCTGGTGGCAATCTAGTTTAAAAGCTAGATCTTAAAGGCCCATTATAGGTACAATGGGGCCTTGACTTACGAGTGTCCCAACTAACGAGTTTTTCCGAGTTAGGAGCCGTCTCTCGGCCGATTTTTTGCTTTGAGTTGACAGAGTAATTTGAGTTAAAGAGCTCCTTAACGAGCTCTGTCACGGAACGAATTAAATACGTAAGTCAAGGCCCCACTGTATTATTAGCTGAATTGTGTTCCCGCTCAACCAAGTTCATACGTCGAAGTCCTAACTCCCAGTGCCTCTGAAAGTGACTGTACCTGGAGCGAGGGCCTTTATAAAGATAATTAGGGTAAAGTAAGGTCATATGGACTAGCTGTGCTTCAATATGACTGGTGTCCTTATAAAAAAAAAAAAAAAAGATTAGGTCATAGACCAGTGATGGCGAACCTTTTGAGCTCGACGTGTCAGCATTTTGAAAAACCCTAACTTAACTCTGGTGCCATGTCACATATAGAAATTTTTTGATCTTTGCAACCATAGTAAAACAAAGACTTATATTTTTGATTTTTATTTTATATATTTACATGCCATTTTACAAAGAAAAATCAACCAAAAAAATGAGTTCGCGTGTCACCTCTGACACGCGTGTCATAGGTTCGCCATCACTGTCATAGACACACGCAGAAGAAAGACCATGTGAAGACCCAGGAAGAAGGTGACCATCTACCTACCAAGAAGAGGGGCCCCCAACCACACAAATACCTTGATCTTGGGTTTCTAGCCTCCAGAATCATGGAAAAAATTTCTATGTAAGTCACCCAATTTGTGGTACATTGTTATTGTAGCCCAGCAGTCTAATACAAATGGAATTGTGTAATTACTAATATCTAAAATTAAGAGCTTTCCTGATTATTCAGAGTTCTCTTGTAAAAATCAGAAATCTTGGCCAGTAAGAGGAATTTCGATAATTCTTTTTTTATGCTGGAATTTTATTGCCCCAAATAGAACTCGACTGAGAGGATCAGAGATTGAGGCCTTGACACCTTATGTTATTCAGCTTAGCCTGATGCTGCTGATGGTAACAGTGTTTGATCCGAAGGCAAATTGCAGGTGCTCCCTGGATTTCTTCATACAGCTACAGAAATACTTACCACGGAAAAAACATACCTTTGCAGAGTCTCACTAAGTTTCCTGTGGATGGGCAAGTGCAGTGGTGCCTGGAAATTATGGCAATGACTGCTATTAAAATCAGAAGTAGGTGCAGGGCTCATGGAAATAGAAATCCCAACAAAGAGAGAAAAAAACTAAAGAACAAAATAAACCTATCCAAAAACATTAAGACAAAAATCCCTTTGACTTTCGGTTCAAGAAATATTTTCTTTTTCAAACCAGTTTATAAGTCAAATGTGTATCATAACAAAGTCGTTAAATTTATTTGTATTTTTTATTTACAAATTTATTTGTATTTGTATTGAAAGAGGAAGGGAGAGGGTTAGAGACAGAAACATCGATGGGAAAGAAACGTCAATAGGTTGACTTCTGCATGCCCCCTACTGGAGAATCAAGCCTGCAATCCGGAATCAAACCAGTGACTCCTTGGTTCCTGGGTCGGCGCTCAGCCACTGAGCCACACCGACTGGACTCAATAAGTGCTTTTAAAGTTCATGCATTGAACTGTAGGGGAAAATAGAATTAAGATATCAAATACTTCATGATATGATGTGAGAAAAAGAGAGACAAAAAAGCCATAATTTCATGTAGTCTTCGGTAAAATCTGCAATGGAAATAAAAACTGTAATGAAATCAGAGGACAGCAAAGGTCATTCTGGCTGGGACATTTGTGTCAGGTCTGGGGGTGTGTAGCATTTACTCAGGTGGCGATGCAGAGAGAGCGAAGCTTTCTAGGCAGGTGGATTAGCACGAGGAAAAACAGATGCTGTTGAGTGCAAATCGTGCTCAGTGAAAAAGTGGGAATCTGAGAGGGAGCATTGAGAGGATGGGCCATTGACCCTGCACTTGGAGGTAAGGGACCTGGGTTTGAGTCTTGTGTTCCCCATTTACTAGATTTATGACTTCAGTCTCCCTGAGCCTCAAATTGCTCATCTGCAAAACAGAACTAATAGTTCAGTCCTCACAATTATGATGATTAAAAGTGAGTACCGTGTGAAATCTCCACCTAGCAAAGCCTGATAATGCAGTAAGAATTCAGCAAATGTTAGCTGATCCTAAGAGGTTAGGCTTGATTCTATAGGAAATAGGAGCCAATAGGGTTTTGAGCATGAAAGTAAGATGACCAGAGGTAGGCATTTGGAAATGTATCCCAGTAACACGGTGTGCAGAATGAATTAGAAAGGGCAGCCATTGTGCAAGAAGGAAGGCCCGCCCATTAGGAAAACATTAGCAACAATAGCCCAGCTTTGAAGTGATGGGGGCCTGAAGCAGGGCTGTGCTGGGGGAATGGGCAGGAGGGTATGGGTGGAAGAGATTCCATGTAATGGCACTAGGATCTGCACCCGGGATATAAATAGCTGTTCAGAAAAGCAGATCCTAGTCCTGTGGCTTTTTCTCAAGTAGTGTCATGACCTCCTCTGAGCTATGTAACCTCCGTGGATTCCAAATTTGCTCCTGTATGCAATAAAAAGAGATTAGGAAATCTCTAAGTATTCTTATAGCACTAAACTCCTTTGTGCCTATTTGAATCAATCAAACTTATTAAGTTGATAAGGTGAGAAAGTAAAGAGAGAGGAGACAGAGAATTTGGACTTGAAGCAAGAAGCTTTAAACATATTAGTGTGTCAGTAGATTGTCATTTCTAGGAATATGGAAAAGAAAAATAAACAGGTTTGGGGAAAATACACAGAGTGGCCAGATTATTATGACCACCTGACGTTTGTAGGCATATTAGCTATAATTTCACGCTGAAGTTGCTAGAGGGCTATATACATATATATATATGTCATTTCTAACAGTTTGAAGGGCTGTCCTTCAAACACATAGACATATGGGTTTATGAATATTCAACAAAGTATTTTATATTATATGCTACACCATGTAAACATCATATTTGAAAGCAATTTTTTTTTAATTTATAGATTCTTTTCATTGGCGATTCAACCAACAGAGGGATGATGTACTATCTGATTGAAAGACTGAACGAAACCTTGCAGGAATGGCAGAAGGTGCATGGCACTAAGTTCTACCACAATGTCAATGGCGGGAAGACTTTGATCAGTTATTCCTACTATCCTCAGTTCTGGATGAGCCCTTCATTGAGACCAACGTTTGAAAAGGCCCTTGAGCATCTCCTGCAAAGGTACAATGGAACCATCGAGAAGAGCACAGTGCCACATGCACTTGTTTCTCACTAGTGGTCATAATTGCTCACCCTACATCAGTGGTTCTCAACCTTCCTAATGCCACGACCCTTTAATACAGTTCCTCATGTTGTGGTGACCCCCAACCATAAAATTATTTTCATTGCTACTGTTATGAATCGTCATGTAAATATCTGATACGCAGGATGTATTTTCATTGTTACAAATTGAACATCATTAAAGCATAGTGATTCATCACAAAAACAATATGTAATTATATATGTGATCTCCGATGGTCTTAGGCGACCCCTGTGAAAGGGTCGTTCGACCCCCAAAGGGGTCGCGACCCACAGGTTGAGAACCGCTGCCCTACATCAAAGGGGCTGAAAAGCGTAAAGCAAGTAATACGTCTGAAAACGAGTTGGAAATGACAAAGAGGTCCTGTGATCAGGATGTCAGATATGGTTCAATGAAATGTGAGGCAATGCTAGTAAAATATTTACCATCTGTTTCAAGGCAACATGTGTTGTTTTTCTTTCTGGATTTCAGATCACGTCCTCTGGAGAATTCGGGCCAGACTATATTGGTCGTTGGTGGTGTTCAGTGGCTTAATTCCAATCATCTGCAAATTATTCACAAGGTTCTGAAGAGGTACATTTCTGTAACAGTAATTGTCATTAGGATTCTAAGTAAAAAAAAAAAATTACTCTTGATTTGATGGAATTTTTATCAAGATTTTATTTAAAGACCAACTTGTTTAGAATTGAGTATTTAAAGTCTTGTTTAAAATATTTCAAAATACCTTTGTATCCAATCACAAGATGGCTCTTCAGTATCCAAATTTACATTTACTACAGATCAAAACATGCCCACTGACATGTAAAACTCTATCCACACAAAAAATGAGCACACATCAAATCTAGAAAATAAGAAATTAGTCCTGTCTGCCAATTGCCACATCCTAAAGAACTTTCATGTATTTGTTTATGTAAACATGATCATCTAGAAATATAATTGATGCTCTTGACTTTAGAATTCTAATTATTTCACAGGGAAAATTTACTCAATATCCTTGTGATCATCAAAACTTTGGGAATCGGATTTCATCTGCCAGTGGATGGAGTGCATTTCTTAACACAGGTAAGGCTATTTCGTCCAGGCTGTGTGAACTTCATGCTTCTTGTCTTTGTTGATGTCTGGAAGGCACCACATAATATTTAGCAACCTTTATAAAAAAATCAAGGGAGATAGTATACTTGTGGATTATGGTTTTAAATCAGTTAGAATTATTCCTGGAAATAAGGAGCCCATAATCCATGTGGGTTGTACATACTTTGAGTTCATAAAAGAAGAAAGAGGGTGCCAAACTATGAAAAAGTAAGAACTGAGGGTAGATGAGAGAGATTGTGCTTTAGGTACCTGCTTACCCTACTAATGTTTCAGACACCTTTGGAGGCTCATGCTGAAACCACGAATGAAATTGTCTGAAAGAGTGGGTTTTTTTTTTTAAGATGATGTCTGACTGATTGCTTTAAAAATCATCTTTGAAGTAGTATCATTAGTCGTATAACTCTGGCTAGAGAGTCATAAATGAAAGGAATTAGAGGCTCTGACCAGTTCTCATAGAATTTAGTAAATCAGTCACAACACTGAACTGAAGTCTCAGAAAAGAACAGAAAGACGTCTGTAGGTAAAGGAACCAGCTGGGGTTGTTCAAGCCGGGAAAATTCTTGGCAGTGGGGTTGGTGTGTGATTGCTCCGGGGAGGCCAGGAGCACTGGGAATTGGGGAGACAGTAAGCTGTCCATTGAATACGTAAGCCGAGTGAGACTTCCTTTTGTGTCAATGTTGAACGCTCCTAGCTTTCCCCAGCACATACTACACAACCCCCCGCCCCTTTCCTGAAACTACGCCTGCATAGATGCCGGTTCTATGATACAAAACCAGGAGACCGGGGGCTAGAAAGTGGCCCAAGTAGAAACTCCAAATTCATCTTCTTGGAGTTAGGATGGGCTGAGGGGTTGAGGTATTTAGTATCTGGGGTAGCTGAAGAGTTTTAGACTGTTGGGGATTAGAAGAGGGATCCTTTGATATAGGTTACGAGTAGAATCTCCTTTACTGTTATCTGAAGACTACAGGTCAATACTGCAACTCCTTCTTGAGGACTCTGGTAGCTCTACTTTGCTCTTTGACTGCAGCTCCTCACAGGAACTGGAGTTCTGTAGCTGCTGCTTATATTTAGTTTATTAAGTTTGAATCAGTTCATCTCAGCAGACAGCGAACATTTCTTCAGCATCTACTATGTACCAGATATCGCGTTAAACATTATACCTCCCCCTGGGCTTTGATGGTGTTCATCAGTCTTTTAAAACGGAGTAAAAACAAAAGGGTGGAACTAGAGGGTGTGGAAAACAATTGAATGAAAGAGACAATAGCAGTGGAAGCAGAAAATAAACCTGAACTCCTCATCATATGCTTGCACGGCTTTTCAGGACTGGGTCTCTGCTTTCCTCTGTAGACTTACCCCTTGGTCTCCCTGTATATGCACACATGTCTATTCACCAGACACACTCACAACACCACCGAGCTCGGTCATGCTGAGCATGTTCTAGCTTCTCAAGCATGTCATGCTCTCCGTCACCTTCAGGCCTCTGAAATCACTACTCCCTTTTCTTGGAGCCCACTCTTTCACTACCTCCTTCTGTGGGTAACCTCTAAGCACCCTTAAAGTGTTAGTTTACATGCTCTTTCCTCTGGGGAGACTTAATGGGCACATGGGACTCCATGGTCTGTTCCTGCTATGAGCTCCTATAATGTTTTGTGTCCTCATGCATGTCACTCATCTGATAATAGTCCTTGGTTGCCTGTCTCCCCTACTAGACTAATCTCTGTGATTGGAGAGACCGGGAAGAGAGGGCTGCATTGCTCATTCTGGTACCCCTAGCGCAAAACACAATTGTCAGCACGTAGTAGACTCTCAAAAAATACCTATTCCTGAGTGGGTGAGTGACACTTTGTATGATTTGGCTGCTCCCAGTTTGCCCCTTTAGGACTAGGCATTCATTCCCCGGGGCTCTGGTTATGTGGCCTAATAAAGACTTACACGTGAATCCCAGCAGGGATTGCCTTTTGCTACGGAAACCCAACTTGCCCAGGGCAAGGGTACCAAGACTCCACCCCCTTTCCTTAATGTGGGCCATTATCTCAGAAGATCCTTCCCAGCTCTAGAACCCCTAAGTGGGACCAACAAAGCCTGTTTCAACCACATCACTCTTTCATAGGTGTTGATCCCCGTTGGTCTCCTGCATGCAAATTTCCACCTAATTGTCTATTGCCCAGAGAACTGACCTCTAGACACTGCTTACTCTAAAGTTCCATGTATCCTTCATCATTAGACATATTAGAGTTGAGAAAAATGCGTGTACTAGACAAGAACAAGCCTGAGGATCATTTTTCATGTGATAGCACAGACAAAATTCGCATCTGTCTCCTTCCTCCATATTTCTTCTTTATGGACCTTTGCTATTCACGATCTTTATTTGGGGGGAAACACTCTTCTTTGAATGTCACATAACAATAGTTACGTGCGCTCAGTGGAGATAGGAAATTAGACGTATTTGTACTGCTTTTACTTTGCGGTTGGATTACCAAATGCAAGTAATTTGCATTTTTACATGGAAAATAAAAATAGTTTTTGTTCTTTAGAAAAGACAGAGTGCAATTCCCTCTCTTTGTCAGAGTGGGTTTGCCAAGAAACAGACACTAAGATGGGATGAGCAGAAGAAGGGGGTTTAGAGGGAGAGTGCCTGGGAAGACTAAAGGGAAGAGGAGTAGACAGGAAGACTTTCAGACAACAGCACCCAATGCAGAGCCCTCAGTCTTGCACCAAATGTTTTCTAGTCCACTATGTATTGGGACCTGTGTTTAGGAATAATGAGTCTGACATGAAGGGTGTGGAAGAAGGATGAAGTACATAGGAAGAGACTCAGACAACAGGTCAGTCTGAGAAAGTGTTGGCCAAGCCAATGAGGAATCCTGAACTAGGGTAGAGGAGGAGTTCCTCCTCTTGACAGTAGACCTCAACTAGAACTCCCACCTTGGACATGGGAGGGAAGGAGGGAGAGAGGGAGGAATATGACCCAGAAACAGCAGCACTCCATTCTGCTGTTTCTCTAGAAGCACACTTCCTCCCCTCCCTCCCCACCCCCCACTGGCAGTCCTGTTTCTGCTCAGGAGTCACCTCTCCAAGTCTCTCTGTCCAGCTGTCCCCTTGCACCTGGCAGAGCTATTCCCTTTTCTCTACTAGCCAGAACCTGGTAGGTTTGCCTGCAATGAAAGACTTAGTAAATGTATGCATATCTTTCTCCTATTAGCATGTAATGTCTTAAGATCAGGGCCCATGATTTATTTATTTTTGTATTCCTGTCCCTCAGCACAGAGCTAAGCACGAAACATATGTTAATTAATATTCAAATGAATAAAAATCCAAGTAGATGGGGATAACATTTGTAATTTCAAATCTTGGCTTTTAAATTGAGAATTTTAGAGATTTCAAAGGATCTTTGTGGGCAAAAAAAAAAAATGACTTATGATGGAAAGAAAAGTTCTAAACTGTAAATCACTGTACATATTTATGCATTGCTGTTTTATACATACACAGGTGTTTACATTTATATTTTGAATAAAGAATTAGGGCACCTCTTTACTTAAGAAATATAGGTAAAATTAAGTCTTTATCTCAAAATAAGACCAATCTGTAGAACAAGATGCCCTTTACACAATTTCTATCTGATTTTGCAAATCGTAAACAACGCTCTTAATAAAAATTCTCACTCTTCTGCTTTGCAACACAGAGGGAAGTTCAGAACTTATGGAAAGAAAATGTGGTTATTCTGGACACTGCAAAGAAGTATGGCTACGAAGTGGTGGACACCTTCACTATAACCATGGGGCGCTACAAAGAGTTTTTCCAGGGAGCCTGTGGCTGCCATTTCCATGAGGTATTTATCTGGCTTTCTGACTCTTTTAGCTTTTGATTTTTAAAAAATTTTCATTGTGTTTTTAATAGCATGGTCAGTCTTATAGTGCATTAAAAAACTATGTCAGGAGGAGATGAGATGATTTGTTCATCACTAGGCCGAAGCATGTGGTAATCATAACTCAAGGCTCTGCAAAATGAGGTGTTTTTTTAAAAAAGAGTGTTTACATAGACACTTGGGAACTGGGAGCTCAGGTCAGTGCGAGAAGGAGATGGCCACCTGGAGAGAACCTGCCCGTCTCACAGACTCCGAGCCTTCCCTGAGGAATGGTGTCCCAAAACGTGCCAGATGCCTTCAGTGGAAGCAGCTTGAAGATCCAGAGCATTTAATATGATAACTAACAAATCACCTTCCTCCTTTGGTGTAGTCAGTGCACAACAGGAGGGCCGGTCTTCTGACTGATTTCCCCCCACTGGTGAAAATGATGTTATTTGTAATAGTAATGAAACAGGCTTAGCTGATAAGGTGATGATAGAAAATAATTTTATCCTTTTCCCCTTGTCCTTTCAAATCCCTCTGTGGATATTGCCTCCCTATCACTTGAATAAAATCTTGGTAAATCCCATAACTTGAAAACCCACTTCCAGATCATCAAAGGACCCCCATCATTTTCAGGCACAGAAGAATATCACTTCAATACTAAAATTGCCCGGGCCTGTGTCTGTGCCCACGTAACATGATTTCCTTCCCCCAGCTTAGACCTGCCTCATCTTGAAAGCCTGACATAGGAGAGAGGGAGCCAGGGACTTCTTTCCTACTTCCCCACTTTTCTTCTCCCACCCTCTTCATTGGGTCTGGTTAGGGAGGAGATAATAAGGGCAACAAAAGTCTTGCTTGACTAGCATAAGCATAGTCATCAGTGTGCTCTCTGGGGATAGAATGGTAATTCCTTCTTTTTAGGGTGCTTTTGTGCATTTTCTTGATGACAGATCCCACTGGGCCCCCCAGAGATAGCTTCCTGGGGAAAGGCCAGTCCCACTCACTGCTACATTCCTTCCTTGGCCCTTTGACTTCCAATTGCCCATCCTTCTGTTGAAGGGTCACATTGCCCCTCTAGGCATCCTCTTGGAAGATACAGTGGGGCCTTGACTTACAAGTGTCCCGACTAACGAGTTTTTTGAGATACCAGCTGTCTCTCGGCAGATTTTTTGCATTGAGTTGATAGAGTAATTTGAGTTAACGAGCTCCTTAATGAGCTCGGTCTCTGAACGAATTAAACTCGTAAGTCAAGGCCCCACTGTATTCAAAATGGCACTGGGCTTGCTACATTCAGTTGCCCAGATTTGGTCCACAAGAAACACCCAGGCACCCTTGCTCAGCTGTTGCTGGAAATACAGTTAGCTCCAGGTCAGCCCTCTCTCTGTTTCTCGCTCTTTCTTGCTTTCGCTCTCACTTTTGCTCCTCCTCTCTCGCTTTCTCTGCTACAGGGAAGCTGAACTTTAGCCAGTGTCTCATCCCAGTCCTAATGCACCCCAGTCCCCAACATGTCCATCTCTCCAAGTTGGTCTCTTAAAACCCCATCTCACTTAGCTTAGAGCAGTGGTTCTCAACCTGTGGATCGCGACCCCTTTGGGAGTCAAACGACCCTTTCACAGGGGTCGCCTAAGAGAGAGGAAGCCAGGGACTTCTTTCCTATTACATATTGTTTTGTGATTAATCATTATGCTTTAATTATGTTCAATTTGTAACAATGAAAATACATGCTGCATATCAGATATTTACATGACGATTCATAACAGTAGCAACATTACAGTTATGAAGTAACAACGAAAATAATTTTATGTTTGGGTCACAACATGAGGAACTGTATTAAAGGGTCGCGGCATTAGGAAGGTTGAGAACCACTGGCTTAGAGCAAGGTTGGAGGAGCTCCCCAGAGGGAAGAAGACCACAAAGTATTTGGAAAATTTCTCACATAGAATTTCTCGCTCTTCATCTTCATTTCTCAGTCCTTTTCATGAAACAAGGGTTTGTGAAGGGGGATGCTGTCCACACTTTTGCATGTTTTGCATATATTGTCCAGACATTGTTTCGGAATGTGAAGCTACTTGGCTACTGTTGTTTGCTCTAGGTCTCAGGAGCTTCAGCTGAAACTGTTATGGAGAGTTTCTCATTTGATCATCCTGTCAGATATTGATTCACTCGTGGGTTGCTGTTTTTTCTTGCATGGCCTCCTTTGTAAACCAGGATGCAGTCATTAATGAGTTGACTAGTGAGATGACAACTAAAGGTTTCTTCTGATCCTATTTTTCAGCTATAAGATGACTTTCAGAATCTATCCTGATCCTCAGGTTTTATGAATACCCAAAAGTTATTGACATGGCACTGTATGCTCTACTAATGGATTCATGTTATATTTTCATATGACAGATGGAACTGCATCTCAGAGAAGTGAGCTCCTGCACCCACAATAAAAATCATTTTGAGTTTTTATCTAGCAACATGGAGTTTGGCCATGTGGATGTGGATGCAGACCAGATTTTAAGCTGTAGGACACTGTGTGTCTACTTATTTCTTCCATAAGAAAACATAACACTCTTTGGGTGCCTATCCTAATTTGCAAAATGTCAAGACTTAGAAATACAAGAGCAGTCAGCCTGGAAGAAGAAGAAACAATAAACTTGTACCTGAGACAACCCAGTATCAGTTGGTGACAAAAACAAGCCAAAAGTTGCCAAATGGGGACTTTGAAAGACAATATACAGATAGGGTTTTTGTTTTTGTTTTTTTTTTTTTTACTCTTTTAGGAGAGATTCATTTATTTTTTTTTATAATATGCCTCCAATTAGTATTTGGGGTGAGGATACCTGTTTTTTATTTTTCAGCTTTAGTGCTTCTAAAAAGAAGTCCCCCCCAATGATTTCCAGCATGGCTCCAATTAAAAACAGAAGATGCCCTTCCCACATGATTGCATTTCATGTATCTCCTGCTACAGCAACAAGTAGTTGACACTAATAGTCATGGAATTAGTGAAGTACAAAAAAGACTCTCTGAACCATCAGAGCTAGAAAATTGGCTTATAATCATTACTAAAACACCATTATTAGTTGCATAATGATGACTTAAGCATGCCAGGTAAAAATTATTTCACTTATTTGATTTTATAAATTTTTTGTGTGTGTTCAGATATCATGTACAAATTCTTTTTTCTTAAACCCTATTTTTCATGTGTGCTGTCTTGGAGGCAGGCTATATAGGTATGCCCCAGATTATCTCAGTTGATTCTGGAGCATGTGATCCATTCCGAAGTTTCCATGTTTGAGAAGAAATACTTCTAAGAGCATTTGCCCTTCTAGTTACCACACAGACCTGATACAGTCGTCTTTCTGAAATAACTCCCTTCATCACAAAGTCTCATACCTCATTCATCACTTAGGCATACTTGTTGCTTAACTTTTGAACAATTTGTACCACTTGTATTTCAGGAAGTTGCTAGTAATGACGCATGTTTTATAATCTTTCTAAACTATCGCCCAACATCTTAAATCACTGTTAGCTTATTATAAACAATCAAGAAAATTCTAAAGCTTCTTGCAAGGAATGGAGTGACGATAAATGTAGCAAGCCAGAAAACAGTAGGTTATTGGTCTCATGCAAAATGTATTAAAGGGTAGAAATTCATTAATAAGAACCATTTTTCCTCTGTGCTCATCTAATGAGCTGGCAAAGGAAGTTGTCATATAGTAATCAAAAGACTTAAAATTAGCTATAAGAAACCCCAAAGAAGTTCAGTTTGAGAGCCTTGTATCTTCTGGTGTTTAATGAAACCATTCTCACAATCAGTTCACAGACACCTGAGAAGGACTGGTATAACCTTCACAGCAAGATGTGAATGTGACCTCTTTGATTTGTGGTGAGAATTCAAGCATAGACATAACAAGCCTACTCCAGTGGTCTCTTATTGCTATGGATGAGATTAAAGGGTTTGGGCATCTCTTTCATCTGTCAAGGCTCCAAAAGAGAATACATTGCCACCACACATTTATAAGAAATTTCCCAACTGGTGTGCATCAGTTTTGACTAACATCGTCCCGCAAATGAGAAAAGCAGGTATATCTCTTCATGGGTTAGGGATGGAATTTTGTTTTCTCAATGTTTATGCAGGACAACAAACAGGATCCAGTTAGCTCTTGCCCAAGAGTGGTTTTGGATGTGCCTTTAGTTATGTGGCAAATACCTACTGTCAACAGCCAAAACCTGGAAAGGATACAAAACTATTATCAGCCCAAACTTAGCTGCAGAAGGAGAAAATCCACAACTAATTATTATGTGACTAGAGTCCCTGTGCATGAATTTGTGCACCAGTGGGGTCCCTCTGCCTGGCCTGTGGGATCGGGCCAAAACCCCCTCTCTGACAACCCCCGAAGGGTCCTGGATTGCGAGAGGGTGCAGGCCAGGCTGAGGGAGCCCATTGGTACACGATCAGGGCCAGAGAGGGACACGGGAGGTTGGCAGCCGGAGAGGGACTGAGGGAGGGCTCCAAGGTTTGTCCAGCCTGACTTGCTCAGTCCCAATCCACCAGACCCCAGCAGCAAGCTAACCTACCTGTCAGAGTGTCTGCCTCTGGTGGTCAGTGCACGCCATAGCAACTGGTTGACCAGTCGACACTCTGCCCCCTGGCAGTCAGTGCATGTCATAGCAAGCAGTTGAGCAGCCTTAGCATATCATTAGCATATTACGCTTTGATTGGTTGAACGACTGACCAGTCGACCAGACACTTAGCATATTAGGCTTTTATTATATAGGATTATTAATTAGTCTAATCCAGCAATTTTCCCAAACTTTTTCATCTCGTGGCACACATAAATTAATTACTGAAATTCTGTGGCACACCAAAAATACATTTTTTGCTGATCTGACAAAATAATATGTATAATTTTAATTCATTGTGCTGGCTATTGTTATTTTTCAATTTGACAATCTAAGAGAAAAGAAGTCAGTGCCCCTGACTAAATAATAAG